CACCGCATCATAGCTTCATCTAAGAAGTCCAGTGTGGAAAGTCAGGGCGAAGAACACAAGACGTCATCCCAAACACCTTGCTCCAGGGGTCTAGGCAGCAAGAGACGCCTGGACTCAGTCACTGGTACTTCTCATCCCAATTCATCAGGGTCAAAGGTAGACTTGGCAGCACTCTGTGCCCAGGATGCACTTCTGTGGTGGACGAGAAAAATCTCAGGGAGGTTGGTCCCTGGGATGGGACAGTAGGACTGAGAGCTGGGTCCAGCTTCCTGCTCTCTGTCTGTTGAAGGCTGGGGTCATCTTACTGACCTTGGTTGTGAATCAGGGACAGTCCTTCAGGGCATAAGTGGCAGAGAAACCCACTCTAAGTGGCCTAAAGAAGGAAGCAAGTTTATTTTCCCAAAGGAGTAAGAAGGTCAGAGGTCAGCCATTCTCAGGATGATATCAGATCTTGTCCTTCTCTTTCCCTTCCTAAGTTCCTGTCTGGGAAAATTGCAACAGGCTCTAGCAATCAATGGATTTAACCAAAGAGGTACCGGCGAAGGGTGGGATGGACAGATGACCTGAATGAATACGTGAATGGTGAATGAGTGGATAAATGAATGTCCCAAGTGATCGAATTGTTGGAGGACTCAGATACCACCTGGATGATAATGAAAGTGAAGGAAGTCCTGTCTCCTCTCACTTTGCTTGGTTGTTCACTGGGAGAAATAAGAGGAGGTCTCAAGCTGAGTAGAAGTGAGGCGTTCGGCTATCTGCAGTGTCTTCAGCATGTTGTCTTGCTCCATTCCCTCACCCGTGTCTGCTGATAAAGTGTCCACAGTGACATTTACACTCGAGAACGTGGCTGCTCTAGACACACCCTAGCCAACATGTGGGGCTCCTGAGCATTGGGGATACAGGACTGGTCCACTCTGAAAACTGCTGGAAGTCTAACGCTCTCACTGAATCCTGTCGATTTACTGTGAGAAATAAACTAATAGATCTCAGCAGTGCTCTTCAATGGCACATTAAAATGGTAATATTTTGGAAAACTCTTGCTCAGATAGTAGAACCAATTCATCTTGGTCTTTTAAATTTTTTTATTATTTATTTATTTTTTTTGTCAGTCATGGGCCTTGAACTCTGGGCTTGAGTGCTGTCCCTCAGCTCTTCAGCTCAAGGCTAGCACTCTACCACTTGAGCTACAGTGCCACATCTGGTTTTCTGGTAGTTTATTGGAGATAAGAGTTTCATGGACTTTCCTGCCTGGGCTGGCTTTGAACCTTAGATCTCAGCCTCCTGAGTAGCTAGGATTGTAGGCATGAGCCACCGGCGCCCGGCATTTATTTATTTATTTATTTTTATATACATTTTTATTGTGAAAATACCATACAGAGGGGTTACAATTACATGAGCAAGGTAATGAGTACATTTCTTATCAAGCATTGTTGCCTCCTCCTTTGTTTCCTCTTCCCATTTCCCCCTCAGCCCGTCCCCCTCCACCTGCCCCGTGCCAAAGTTGTAAAGTTTGTTTTTCCACATAACGTCTTGTACATCTCATTGTTGCAATGGGTCCACCTGTATCCCTATTTAAACAATTTGTTTTTGCCCTTTCCCTCCACAAAGTATACCAACATCAAGTACAGTGAAAACAGGGGTTATACCGTGGGGGAGAGACATACAAAGCAACACAGAAATCATCTTTATATATATGTTAGAAACAATCGCAAAAAAGAAAAAAAAATTTGAATCCTTATCTTGGGGTTCTGGAACCAACCCAGATGCCCCGCAGTAGATGAATGGATCAAGAAAATGTGGTATTTATAC